AATGAAATGACAATGCAGTTTGAATGATGCGTTGAGCCTCGGTGCATGTAATACAAATGAATGGATACAAGCATAAAGCATAAGGTATGCTAATTGAAACATGTCCCTAGTCTAACCATCAAAAGCGGGTAAATAAAAGGGAGAAAGACGTGGGGTTGGAAAACATACACATTATTACATTACGCTCTCACGAAGGACAGTCCGAATGAATAAAATTAACTAACTAATTAAGCTAAGCTAATTAGGCTAATTATTACAACATTTGAAATGAATAATTAACTAACTATTACAACACTTGAAATGAATAATTAACTAACCATCTAAGCTAATTAATTAAGAATTTAACTAGACTAAGCTAATTAAATAATACAACACCGAATAATTAGCTACAACTAATTAAACTAATTAAATATTACAATTCAATTCATTATGCTAATGAAACAATTAAACGATCAAACACATTCAGTATGAGCACCAAGGAAGATGGATGGAGGTTGCATGCGCATCGCCTGAAAGCTACTCTGTCTGCCCAAGCCATCTCTGTTTCACCTTCAGCCACTGCCTCTGTTTTTGCAAAATTGCATTGCTGGCCACACACCAAGGGCCGACCGTGCATTACTGATGGCCGGTCGAGCCTACAGAGGGCCGGCCGTGCATTGATTTGGTTTGTGCTCTGAGGTGAAATCAGTATAGATAGAGCATTTTCAAGCTCTGTTTGTCCTTCCTTCCTTCTCTGTCATAAGAAAGCCTCAAGAGAATGTTGGGATTAACTCTAAAACTATCAATGAGCGATATGATGGCTTGATGATCTTGGATATCATTTTGGACCAAAAATCAAGGAATGTAATGCAAATGGACCACCCCTCCCTTTTTGTCATGGAATAAACTCAAAAAAAGAAGTTGAGACGCTTCAAGGATGTCAAAAACACCATGAATTGATGCTTGATGACCATTGACACAACAAACTTGGCATAACATAAGGCCAAGTTCAAGCTATTAAGTCGTTTTCTTTAAGTGTGTTAAACCAAGTTTTAAGCCAATTGTTTTAGTCATTGCCATTCATTAGTCCATTTGTCCATAGTGATATTAAAGTCTTCTAAACAAGAAGTGATGTCAAACAAGAGGTTCTTCTAAAACATGAGAATGAGACTACACCGTTGACGATGAATCTTCGAAAAGATTAAGCCATTAAATATAGGTCTCCTTTACATGCATTGAACAACCTCAATTGGTTGAAACCATTCTCAAGAATGAAAGATATGGAATGATTGATTGATTAATGCACTTAGGCTTCAAACATGGAAAATGAACAAAGAAAGCATATCAAACAAGATGTATGTCAACTTATGAGACCACAAGTGTATTAAACAAGGCATAAACCAATTGAAAAGACCTAAACAACCTCAAAACAACCCTAAATGCATGAAAATTAGAGGTAAAACATACATGAAAAGGGGTTGAAAAACTAGACAATAAAGATGAGAATTAGGGCTAGTAAACAAGGATAAGGAGGGGTAACCCCTCCACTTTTGAAGCTTCAAAACATGGTTTTTAGCCTTTCAAAACCTCTGAAAATCAGTGTAGATATCAAAGGAAATGAGTGAAAATGAGAAGGTTTGAATTATAAATAAAGGTATAGAAAGAGCAAACTCTTTTTACCCTTTTGGTAACTCTTCAAATTCAACTCCAATCACTTCAAACAAGCTCAAAACAATCCAAAACAGCAAGAAGTATGAAGTAAATGATAGAAATGAATGCAAGAGAAGAGAAGACAAGCTTATACCTTTCAAGAAGTAAGCTTGTTATGGATGCTTCAAACTTAGTTTCAATGCATTTTCAAGCTTGAATTACACTTCTCCAAGATCAACCAAGGCTTTAGGGTGGTAAGACAAGGTTGTATATGGTGTATATAGGTGGTGTAAGCAAGCTAGGTTGGTGTATACAGGTGGTGTAAGCAAGCTAGGTTAGCTCAAAGATGCCTTGCAATGGAAGAAGGAGGAGTCAAGGGGGGTGTTTGTTTCAGCTTTTCAAAGCTAACTTATAGCTTTTAGCTTTGAAAAAGTTATTTTGGACTGTTTGGTTAAACTTATTTCAAACAGCTTCTGATTCTAACAGCTTATTTTAACTCCAAAAAGCTGATTTTGAGAAGCTGCTCACCCCTTGCTTCTGATTATCAACTTCTGCTGTGGACATGTTAATATATGGTTATACTCTTAGATTTTTTTATTTTTTATTTTTTTAAAAATAGAAAAAGACCCAAATGAACTATAGATTATTATTATTATTTTTTATGAGAAATGTAGACAAGTAGTAAATAACAAAAAATAAAAATTAATTAAAAAAGCAATTTCACAGCTTATTTAACAAACACTACTCAACAACTTAAATCTATAATCTAATAGTTACACCAAACAGATTAACAACTTCTGATTAAAGTCATAATCTATAATCTGTTAAGCTATAATCTATAAGCTGTTTTAACAGCTACACCAAACGGGGCCAAGGGCTCTCAAGGTGTATATGTCACTTCTGGAATTTTGTTCAACCCTCAAAACAATCCCAGAGCTTCGATTTTATAGAATTCGAGCTCAAAAGGTGATAAATATCTTCAAAAATGGACAGCTGGCAACCTTCCGCCCAGAACAATGTTTATCGCCATCAAAGGCCGGTCGGCCATCACTGATGCACGGTCGGGCCTTGATGGCCTCCCCTGTTTTTTTGGTTCAAACTCAGCTCAAGGTGAGAAATGGTCCAAAAATGAAAACCCATGAGTTCAAACAAAGTAAATATTGAAGATGTGTGGCTATTTCGAAAGCCTGATTGATTCCGAATCGCTGCGAATTCATAATTCAAATTTCATCATTGAGTGCATTGAACCAAGCGTCTAAGTCTTGCAGGCGGTCAAAAATAGGGTGTCTACACATCTCTTACTTCGAATCACATAAAAGATGTACAAGTATTTGACAATTGTGATTTCAGGGCAATAGCTGGATCAATTGGTTTAGGTGAAGATGATTGGCAATAAATTAGGCGAAACTTGTTGACTGAGCTGCATTTGAATGTAGTGCACTACGTGCAACTATTTGGCTCACAAGAAAGGGTTGACGACTTTACCTCTATCTTATCCTACTTTGAAGCTGGCCCTGCATTTAATCATTAGATGACTATGCCCGACATGGGCCATTTGATAGCATCATACTACCGAGTCATTCTTTATCATCTATCCATACAACAATGCTTGACATTTCTACCACTTAGAGTAGTACCGATTGCAACACCTGATCGAAGAGATATCTGCATAGGATTTGTAAATGGAAACCATTTCGTGTAGGTAACTACTGAGCCTCCTTTGATCATTACCATGTCTTATTTTGTAATTTTACTTATTGATTTCTTTATTATATGTTTATTTGCAACCTGGTTATCCAGTACCTCCGATAGCAAATAATTGGATTCGTTTTCATCACCCATGTGCTAGTGGATGGGAGAAAGCATATACTATCCGTATTCATCAATTTCGTACTATTGTCAGCCCTGATGTAGTAACTACCGAAACTATCTATATAAACGAATTGTGATAACATGTGATGCAAACAATAACAAATTTTATAGATGCTTTTATGGATATTCGTACACTAATTTTTTAATGAATAATTTTATGGATACTTTTTATCTATGATTTTATAGATACGTGTTTGATTTATGGATATTTGAAGAAAAAAGTAAATCTTTCAATGTACAACGACAAGTGCCTAGACAAATCTATTATAGTTTGGCAACATGACACTAGAGTAATCCCAATTTGTATAGCAATGTATCACTGAATAGGCACTTCAACACTATCTAGAATTAATTTCTTATTATCATCCAATTGAACGGCAACGTATTGCTAGGAAAAAAAAAGTTTGTCTAGTAACATGGCATTGGATGAATTCAAATTTGTTAGCATTGTATTACCGAACAAGTCCAAATTATTGTTTGGAAGAAAGTAACTCTGTAATTGTATAGCAACAAAACACTAGACAAACCTATTTTTGCTGGCAACATAACACCGAAAGAATGTAAATTATCTGGTACTGTGTAACCGAACAAACACCTCACTATGAGCTCCACCGAACCCCTCATCTTCCCTATTTTCTCTTTTCCACTGCTGCTTCTCTTTTTTTCCTCAAAAAATTAGTGGTGTAAAGAGATGAAATAATTAATTTAAAGTTAGTTTTGATAATATATTAGGAGTGTAATGAGAATTACATTTTTTTTAGTGGTACAATGAGATAGAAGGTATAAAGAAATAAAAAAGTGATATAAGTAGAATCACTCATCAATTGGTTTTCATATAGCAAATGCAGCAAAGGATTGGACACATCAAACCCCTCACCCCACGGGTTGTCAAACATGGTTTTTTTTCATGTTTCAAAATTTTTGTCCCAATTATGTTTTCTTATTTTATTTTTATTTTTTAACAAAAAATAAACATAAAATATGATTCCTGATTTCTAATTTTGAAAACGTGTATTAAATACGTTTTTTTTTTTTTAATTTTCATTTTTAACAAAAAATAAATATAAACATATTTAATATTTTTATAAATAAAAAATTGTAAACGCTCAATCAATGATTAATAACTCATTTGTTACCGCACTACACTACAACGTATATGTGATGCATACTGTACATAGGGCCTTTTGAGGTAACTTTTCCTAACGCTTAAAGTTGATGGTAAAAAAATAAAAAAAAAAGCCTAAGAACACTTCTCTAATTTTAAAATAATCAACTTTTCAAAAAAATATTAGAGTTACTCTTAAGTTATTTATGTACGAAAGTTGCACCAAACCCATCAACACAAATTCTCATAATAAGAATAATAATAATTACAAACAATTCAATAAATTGCACCAAACACGATGATATTTCATTATCATGCACATGGCAATGCAAAAACACAGCTAGCACCTGCATCAAACAAAAGATGACCCAATCACAACAATTGATTCATGGTGTAACCAAATTGTAACTTTGCTGTTCTATTTTAATGTGGATCTCAAACATGAATAAATACTAGTTTATTCTACCTTAATTTCATTTCTTTTTAAGTTATTATCCTTACAAGACCCCTTCAAACAAACCTACAACAACCCAGTATGTGATTCGACACCGTTGCAATTACTATGATGTTTTCTATGTAAATTATAAAGTAAAAAATTAACTGAAATGGAAAATAAAATAGAAGAACAAACAAGCATCTAGCAGATCAAAATTTAAAAAAGTCAGGAAACCAGGTTCTGTTTTCAACAGCCGGTCATGGTTTGAAAGGATCCAGTAACGGGAGAGAGAAACTTGGCGAATAAGGTTGAGATAGAACAGAAAAACGAATCCACCTCAATGCCTGCCAAAGATTTTGCAACCAACTATTGACAGGAAAGCTTTGAAATCGATTCATCACCATACATCCCTAAGATATCGTCCTTCCATTTGAAGTTTCTTCACAATAACCTCGGCCTTTCTTGAGTCCACATTTTCCTGAAATTCATCCCCATACAAAGAGTAAGTACAAATTATATCGTTTTACCAAATGCCGTCCTATTCTACTAAGAGAGTTGAGCATGGGAGTCCTACTATTGGACAATTTTTGGAGGTTTCTGTTTGGCTCACTCGTAAGAGTACTTGGGCTTAATTGATACACATCGTTCGTGGATGATTGTGCATATTTAAAGTTTTACTCGTAAGGCCTTGTATTGGATGATTGAGTGTTTGGAGTTCACCGTCATTGAAAACTCAAAAATCCTATTCTACTTATTAATGATGCTTCAGGCTAGCCCGCTTCTATAATATTGATACCAAGAATTGAACGACGACTCTAACCTAATTAGTATCCTAGATTTTTATTTGAGTGAACTTTCATCATGCAATAAGTGAAAAACAAACCATAATAATCAAGTACTAGAATAACAAGTACAATGACATCAACACATTTTCTTGCATAAATATTGAAAGACAAAAACCAAAAAAGAACATGATTATGGGTTCCCACAAAAAAAAAAGAAAAAGCCACTATCCACCAGTGAAGGCAACAAACTCAAACATCTATAGCCAGGAAAAATGAAAAGGATTCGGCTAATGGATTAGATCCATTCAGATAATTACAAGAATGTCCACAAGATTGACCATGACATGGGATTGACCAAAAGAGTGCAATGCACCATCAACCCTCCCTCCCTCATATATGGGTGGTTGCCCCCTAGGCACCTTCTTAATACAATATCCTCTTATTACTTATTAGAGTCGTCGTTCAATTCTTGATATCAATATTACACCCCCTAGGCACCTTCTCTTTGCAAAGAAAGTGCATTGTGATCTTAGTCTCTCTTGTCCGTCTTTATGAGAGTAGAAATTCCAATAAAGCCGACTGACGACTAGGGGTTTGTTCCCACACACCCCATATTTAAAATTAAAAAAAAAAATTAAAGTCATTGTTTACTGATTGACACGTAGGAGTTTGTTCCATAACTTGTACACTAATTAAAAAAAAAGGTAGATTACACTGACAGCCTGAGAGCTTTGTTTATTACAGTTTCTCCCCTCACCTTTTAAAAATTACATCCCCTTCTTGAGATCTAAAGTTTCATTACAGATTGCTCCCTCAATTAGTTGACTGTTAAGTCAACTAATAGATTTTGTTGATGTTAGCAATTTAATTTTTTTAAATACCATTTTTGCCCTCACTTGGTAAATTATAGTGACACCCCTCACATTTTAGATATTACAATCTCCTCCCCAAGGTTTAAAGTAGCATTACCAATTGCCCCCCTCAGTTAGTATTAATTGGAAAAAAAAAATCATTGAAAAAAAAAAATTAATTGAAAAAAAAATTTGTTAGTTAAATTTTTAAATTTCTATTTAAAAACCAACGTAAACTCATTTTTTGAATTTACGTTTTTTCCTCAAATTTACAAACTGAGACAACCATTTATAAACAAAAAAAATTGCCAAACAAGTTTTTATGACAGTTTTTAAAAATTTTGTAAATATAAGTTGAAAAATGAAAACGAAAGATTACCAAACAGGTCTCAGATGGTAAAAATGTCGTAAAATTAACAAATAATTAAATAAGTTACCAACGTAAGAAATGACTTATCAAAAGATTCTTAAGCTATGTATGGCTTAATTTTTAGAAATTTTTTTTAAAAATTTAAAATTAATTTAGTTAAGAAATAAAAAAATAAAAAATAATTATCATTTTTATATAATTTTTATCTTTCAAGTGATTAGAAATAATTTTTTACAAATTAAATATATTTCTTCATATTTATTTTTATTAAATTAAAAATTTTTTTTAAATGTTGGGGGAAATCCGTATTAAATTGAAATCTCAGGGGGTGTCAATGTAGTTTACCCTTTAAAGTATATGCAAAGTTAAGGGTAAATATGTCATTTTAACTTAAAAGTTAACACCATCAAATAATTACACTGACAAGAGGAACAGTATAATTTTCCAAATGTGAAGGGAGAAACTGTAATAAACATAAACCTCAGGGGGTGTCAGTGTAATTTATCCTAAAAACAGATGCTTCTGGAAAGATTTAATGATGAGAGAGAGAGAGAGAGAGAGAGAGAGAGAGCGCGCGCTCCATACCTGCTGTTCAACAATGGTATGCAACATGCGATGGACATCTCTGGCCATACCCTTCGCGTCACCACAAACATAAAGATATCCCCCCTGGGAGATCAAACCCCAAACTTGTGCTGCCTGCACATCAACAAAATTAATGAACAATGAATCTTATAATTTATCTCATGAACGTGAAGCTAAGCTTTTGACTTCCTAAGACTTACTTTTGCATTCAACTTATGTTGAACATACTCCTTCTCTGGTCCCTCTCGTGAGAATGCAACAACCAGCTCAGATACTGCACCTTGATCGACAAAATTATTGAGCTCATCCTCATAAATGAAATCCTACAAATAAAAATCAAGTCAGAAAATCTTGCACCAGCTCAGTTAGAAAATCCTCAAAAGAGTGTATGTAGCAAATATTCCTACCATTCTGCGATTTCTACATCCAAAGAACAGCATAGCATGACCAAGTTGAACACCATCCTCTTTCAGGGCCAACCTTTCCTGCAATACTTATCTGTAAGCTGATAGCTTCTCCTATTAATAAAAGAAAGCCACAAATCATAGAGTCGATCTAAACCTGTAGAAACCCTCTGAAAGGTGCCAAGCCAGTACCAGGTCCCACCATGATTATCGGAATTGAAGGGTCGGTTGGTAACTTAAAGTTGGATGTCCTGGTAAAAATAGGAGCTGAGCTGCAGTCATGACTTTTCTCTAGAGGAACCGCATTCTGAATTAGTTTAAGACAACAATAAAACCAAACCAGTTTAGAGGGTGAAAATTGTGGGCATTACACAGACAAAGCACATTGCAATACCAATAATGCACAAATAACATGAAGGTTGTTTCATACCTTCATCCAGGTAGAACACACCCCTTTGTGAATTCGTCCTGTGGGACTTGGTCCATAAACTAACGCACAGGTCACATGAACTCGATTTGGAACAAATCTGCCATAAAAACAAGGAATAAAATTCCCAGGATCTACATACTAGGTAAAACTCTGGTCAAATACCATAAATGGGATAAAAACACACCTAGGAGAGGACGAGATAGAATAGTAACGTGGTTGCAAGCGAGGGGCCACTGCTGCGAAAAATACACCAAGGGGAGGTTTTGCCGATGGAAACTCAGCCATTATCTCAAGAAGGCTTCTTTGACTTGCAACAACCCATTGTGAGTAATCCTCCTGGACAATGACAAAGAAACACAAACATAAATGGATAAAAAAAATTTAAGTGTTGAGTAGAGAACCAGATGAGTTTCCAATTATTGTCAATCATGCAAACACAATATCAACTTTAAAAATAAATTTTTTTTTTTTTAAAAAAAAAAAAAAAAAGAAGAAAGAAAGAAAGAAGGGGAAAAAAGGGGGAAGGGAGTGAAAAGCAACTTGCTACCTTTCCCTGAGGGGATGACAAGAACTTGAGCCTTTCTGCTTCACTAGGTTCAACTGCATGAGCAGCCAAAGCACTTAAAGCAGCCTGAAAATACAACCATTGGAGTGTGACATACCATTATCATGAGTCAAGGATCTCAATTGGAAAGGAAGAAAGGTCAGAAACTCGAGAATTGAAAATAAACCACCTTTCGAGGAGGATTCAGTAGGTCTGCATAATGTGCAAGTGCATCGCGAAGGGTGCAAGGGCCAGGAAAAGGAGGCGGTAATGAGCCTCCAAGAGATGTGCCATCATCTTTGTCAGCATGAACAGAAAAGAGCAATTCTAGAGGCTGACCCAACAAGTTTGCTGCTTCTTCAACAACTTCATCAAAGTTATCAGCATAAACACCCACATGGTCACCGGTTTCATATCTGGGCAGTCAAGAAAGAAATTAAATACTTTATTTATTCATTTCATTCTTATGGATAGGGCTGCCTTCTATCATACAATGGGGCTGACAATGAAGTTAGATCTGTGCTCACTACCCAGCAACCATAAAGAAAACAATTCCTTAGTTTAAGATGCAATGTAGTGCCAATCTAATTTTTCATTTTGTCACTACTTTTTTCCTTTTGCATATATAAATAAATATAAAAGAAAAGATAGATTTTAAATGGCAGTAGTACAGATATTTGCTGACAGAAAAGCTGCAAAAATCAAGCATGAGTAAACATTTTTTTTCCATAGCCAACAAATAAATCAAAGGGGACTAAAGATAACAATTTAAATGGCAGTAGTACAGATATTTGCTGACAGAAAAGCTGCAAAAATCAAGCATGAGTCAACATTTTTTTCCATAGCCAACAAATAAATCAAAGGAGACTAAAGATAACAAAGGAAAAAGACTCAGTGCCGCATAAAAATTAGCATGGAAATAAACATTACATTAGAAAAATATAGATTCGAGAGTAATTGTTAGTTAAGATAAACATCATACTACAATTTCAACTTATAGGTAAAATGTTAAACCTCATTTGAACCACAGATATCTCTCATCAAAGTCATTTATACTATTATATATGTGAGCACATGACTTGGTGTCTAATAGTGTAGTGGCTTCTTTTTCTGCCCCGTGACAAATTTTCCTATCTTAAAATAAAAAAATATTTTTTAAAGGCATGAGCAAGATTTGAACCCAAAACCTTGTGTTTCATTAAGAACACTCTTACCATTTAGACAACATACATACTATGATATTAATTTCTTTATTATTTGTTTTTATGCTTACTTATCTGAATTGCACACACATTGCGTGTGCCACCCACTAGTATAACTAAAATTAGTGCCAATGAGCTACATTGCTAAAGCTTAGATGAGATAAGACTAGCAGAACCTTCCTAGACTTTAAGGATATGGTGGCAAGGAAAAATAATGAAGGTCCAGTAGCCACATAAATACATAATGAAAGCAAGGCAATTGAAATTCAATTTTAACCAGCACAGACCAACATCCACATTAATGCCAGACATGCAAAATATACATGTATTGCACAGTTGCACGCAAGACAGTCAGTCAACTACTAAAACCTAGCTATTCCCGAACTAATATGGATCTTAATGCGGAACATAATTTATTAGCACGGAATTCCTCCACATTTTAATTTTACCTTGCACATAAAAAGCTACATAATCCAATACATATAAAACAATTAAATCTGAACCTCGATTAGATGAATTAGGCAGCCATAAACATACATAATACCAGTTCCTGATATATCGAACTCCAGATGTATGCAAGAGCGATCAGACTCGGGTTTGTGAAGTTCTCTCTGAACAGCAACATTAACTCTTCAGGCAATTCAAAACACTTAAAGGTCAGTAAAAAAAATAAACAATAATAATAATGACAAAAAAAAAAAAAAAAAAAAAAAAAAAAAAAAAAAGAAAAAAAAAAAAAAAAAAAAAAAAAAAAGACATGAAAGAGAACCAAACATGCATGTATCGAAGTACCTGCATGGATGGTGAATATCATATGAAGCATTTCCATTTGCCATATTCAAGTTCTTGTCCTCGTAAGATGTAGTAGTAGGATCATGAATAACTACCCGGTACTCAGGAATAGCAGCTGTATATGGGGTAGACACTGTGTTTGCATCATCCTCATCTCGAAGTAATTGATCTAATTCAGGCCACAGTGTTTCCCGCCTAAAACAGAAGAATCATATCATTACCGTTAACATGATAGAAAAACTGAACTGATACTTCACGCTGCCATCTTCTCTGACTTATGAATAAAGATCAGCTCTTTATCACAACATTAGAATTAATCGAAAAACATATAATAATAATAATAATAACTACATACCAAGCAGCAAAATCATCTTCAATGCACTGATCATCATCCCCAAGACCAACTGGAATAAGACGTTTTGCACCTGACACATAAAGATGTGCAACGGGAGATTATTCAGCCAAATGTAAGTGTTTCCTCTTTCAGTAATAGTTCTTGTCATCCTATCAGTAAGAACCAAATCCTAAGTGTGCCATCCAACAGAATGCTAGCATAACAAACTTTTAGGTTTTCATCAGTCTCGCCAACTATCCCGATCATTCTCAAAATAAACCTTGTTTCTGAGGATTAATTTGTCCAAATTTGTTAATAATCTAGAACAATATCTGTATAGTTGAAGCTGGAGATAAAATGACTAATCAAAATAAGGGAGATGTAACCTCAGATAAGCATATTACCATCTAAAAGTGGGGAAGGGAATATAAAAAAAAAGTTCAGAGAATTGCAACAGGCCAGTGGACACCCTCAATGTCAAGATAATTGAATAACTCTACCCTTCTATATCAGTTACAATATTATGGTGTGCTAAGAATCTTCCAAAATATGCTCAGTGATAGAGAATAACTTTATACCTTGTTTGCTAAGTTGTTCATCTACCACCTTTCCAATCTGTTTGAAAAAGTTGCAGTCAGAAAAAAAAATTGGACAAAAAAGACAAGAAAGAAAGAATCACAGAACGAGAAGTAATGGTTTGATATGAATATATAACGAATTTACCTTGTTGAAATGTTCATATTGACGATTACCCAGACTAAAGACACCATATGTAAGCTGTTGAAGCCAGGCTCCCCTTTCATTTTCCTGAAAACATTTCCAATACCTCTTCACACAAATTTCTAAAAACAATGCACTACTAAAGTTAGTTCGACAGTGACAAAACTATCCACCTCAGTAAACCATTTGTAGAATCTTGCAGCATTATCAGTTGGCTCACCATCTCCATAACTACAATGACCAGCTCAAATGTAGATTAAATAAGCGCCTCACCTCCGAAAAGTTCAATTTGTTAAAAAAATGTCATGCATTTCCAGATAAGCAAATTTACAAGTCTATCTTACGTTGCCAACATGAAAAATACCAAAGTCTCTTTCTTCAGTTTTTGTTCATATTGATCATCATCAGCAGCATAATCATCCTAACTCCAGGGGGAAAAAAAGAGATATCAAATAATCTAGTATTAGTAAATCCTCATGAAAGATCAAATGAGAAGTTTTCCTTTCACCATACCAGGTCAACAACTTTCACAATAGCCTTTTCGTATCTAGCCTTGATCTCTTCTGCTAAAGACTGTCAAAAGAGAATCATCACAAAAGGGAGCATAATAGTCAAAACATTAAAATTAATTTGCCCAACGTAAACTGCTTATTAACCCAAAAAGTAAATTTTGCCACGAAAAATCAAATTGTTCATTTTTTTGACAAATGAAAATTACCATGAAACTGCAAAATTCAGGGTTGTAGCTGTTTTGGACGAGTGGGGATGCACAATATTTGCTTAGACTCACCTCTTTTTGAATAAAGTATTGGGTTAGTCAAACCTTGTCATGTCATCATAACAATATATGAAAAGCGCAAGTGAACGTATTTGGTTAGATACACCTTTTCCAACATTCAACATAAATGAAAAGTGCAAATGAACACTTTTTTTACTCACAAAGCTTTACCAATCTTTCCATTTTGTGATTTTAACCTAAATTTCAGGTTATAGCTCAGAAAGATGCATAAAGAAACAACAAAAGAAAATCTTAGCTTGTTCTGACTTATTTATTTCAACCACATTTTATCGTCATTGTTAATACGGTTGACTGAAATTTCGTAACTCATTTTGTCGTCATTGTTAATAGATGACACATAAAGAAACAAAAAAAAAAAAAAAAATCTTGGCTCATTCCGACTTACTTCAACCACATTTTGTCATCATCGCTAATATGGTTGACAGGAATTTCATAACTCATTTTGTCATCATCATTAATAGTCATATGATGCAGGAAAAATGAAAACTTTCCATCATTGTTAATACTGTTGACTGAAATTCCGTAACTACTTTTGTCGTCATCCTTAATAGAAGACACATAAAGAAACAAAAAAAACAAAAGAAGAAAATCTTCGCTCGTTCCAACTTATTTACTTCAACCATATTTTGCCACAATTGTTAACACGGTTGACTGAAAATTCATAACTCATATAGTCATCATTAATAGTTGAACGACGCAGGACAAATGAAAACTATTCATTCTTTTTGTGTGCAAATGTGCTTGTCTGTGTGGGTGCATGGGGCTCATGTTAAATCCTTAGTCAAGATTATGATTAACATTACACAATAAACAAGGCAATTAGGGGTAAACAGCGATAAGAGATTCTGCAATTAAAACAAAAGTAGTGGAATAATCCTTATTCTACATTCTTAGCCTAAAATTTTGGATTAAGCAAGCAAAAAGTCCACAAAAGGGTATGGGGCTGATACTTTTCAGATTCCCAGTTTCAAATCCACACACACAGCAAAAGTATTATACGTTTGATCCTTTTTCGAGATTCCCCATCTTCAATTTATAACTTTATACCAAAGAGAAAATCATTAAGCAAATTGCAATGGTTCTTGACAATTCAGCTGAATTTCGGGGGACAGACAATTACTTCCCATCTCACAACATTTCCCCCCAAATTCAATCACCTCACTAAACTCCAATCTCAACAGTACCTAAAAAAACCCTGAAAATCTCCCAAATTCAATCACCTCACTAAACTCCAATCTCAACAGTACCTAAAAAAACCCTGAAAATCTCATTTCAAAAAATAAAAAATAAAAAAACTCAAACACAAAGTCAAATCCAAAACTATCAGAAACAAACAACAATGCACAAAGGAAATACAGAAAACTTCACCTTGGCGAAACCCTCGGCAGTGCCAGTCTGAGTACCATAGAACAAAGTCACCTTCGTCTTCCCCGAACCGGCCTCAACCTCATCTTCCTCTTCCTCAACCAGCAATGGCTTCGAAATCACAACAGGCTTCGATTCTTTACTCCGATCAGACGATCTCTTCAACAGAAAGAACAACAATCCGATGATCACAGCAACAGAAGTCGTCACAACCACAATCGCCGTATCAGACACCGATTCCGAACCAAACGAAACTCCCAACGCCGATTCGATCGATCTGATCAAATTTGAGTTCGAAGCCATGGTTTTCAGCGAATTCGAAGTCCAAAAATACTCCGAAATCTGCTGATTTGATCCCTCTCTACTCGTACTCCAGATTTCACAGATAGTCAAGTGCGAATCGATCGAGAACGATGGTCAACTGCTTTGAATTTGATGATATCCTTCTGGGACTCTCTAGGGGTTGTGGGGGTGAGAGAGAGTATTGCTCTTTCTCTCTCTCTCTCTCTAGCGCTTCTCAAAGCCACCTAGAGCGACAGCTAGGAGAGAGAGACAGACAGACAGAGAGAGAAGCGGTGCAGACAAAAGACAATTGACGATTGGATACTTGGTTGTGCGTCTCTGCTGCTGCTTGCCAACCTCGAGGCTTTCTTTTTGGGTCTAAAAGGGGGAAAAATTATTAGTCGGTCTAAAAGTACTACGTAACTATGTGACTGACCAATCACATATCATTATTTTTTTATATATATATATTTTCTAATTACTCAATGCACTATTATAATTTATTCTAATTTTGGAATCTGTATTAGATTATTTGGTATAATTTTTATCTATAATTTATTAGTAAAAATAACTTAATTAAGTTAAAAAAATTAATTATTGAAAAATTGAGATAAGAGTACTTTTAATTTTTACTTTATGATTATTAATTTTTAATTAAAAAAAATCTCCACTAAACAAGGTTGAAATAAAATGAGTTATATTCTTTTCACCAATCACAATACACATTAGGAGTTGTTTGAGATGACCTAAATAAGTGCACTTTTTGTCTTTTTACGAAAAGATGTACAGAAAAGTAGAGAGGTGATGTGATGGATAAAAGTTAAAAAGATAAAAAGATGGATTATTTTTGGGTTGCCAAACTTGGCCCAAGAATTAGGAGTTATTTGGAATGTCCTAAATAAGTAAACTTTTTTGACTTTTTGGACTAAAGAGTTAAGAAAAAAAATGATTGTTTGGGATAACTTTTTGACTTTTTACGAAAAAATGTGTATTAAAAAACAGTATAAATTACTCACCCAAAATTTTTTTTAACTCACCCAAAAAAAAAATTGTATAAATTAGTGTATAAGAGAAGATGAGATGGAATAGGTTGTAGGATAGGCTGAATTTATGGACAAAGTTGGTAGTGTAAAGACTGGAAAATGATTCCCTGCTTTTCAGGTATTGAATTGGAGGTGCTGTTCGGCTTGTGGGGGCCTACCACGGGTCTCGTTTTGCTAATCGAAACCGTTCAATGTGTAGAACTCGTTGAGAACTATATTTTTGTAAAAAATCACGTTAATCGGATATCGATAGTTATCTGATCGGATTAGTTTGTTTTCAACCGTTAACTATAACACCATCCATTTTATAAATTTTAACTAATTTGATCATATAGTTACCGATATCTGATCAATATAATTTTTTCCAAGCTTATAGTACTCGACGAGTTCTACACATTAAACGGTTCAGATTATTAAAAAGGGACCCGTGATGGGCCCCCACGGGCCGAACAGTACAGTGTTATATGTACACCTAAATAAGTGCAATTTTTCCCAAATGTTACCTCCGCTGCTCTGCCGTCAGAGTTGTTTGAAAAAGAAAATTGTGTAAATTTAATTTTTTAATATTTTTTAAGATAAATAGTGATAACTTTTTAACTTTTTTTTGAGTACCCAAACCAGGCCTTACTTGACGCTACTCTTGGACCAACTATGACATTGTTTGAGAAGTGAATTTGGTGGGTTTGCAGTTAAAATAGTCACAAAAAAAATAAAATAGGCTTGTTAATTTTAATAAGACAAAATATTATATTCAACGTATAATTATTAGATTATTTCTCTAAAAAAAAACAAAAAACTCTTCTTAAATTAAATTTTTTAACTCCAAATTAAAATAATTCAAAAAAATAAAATTCAAAAAGTCAACTCACTCCATAAACCAAGCCCAATGATTATTGTTAAAAGTCCCACATTTTGGTTGTGACGTGGCCTTAACAAACACGTGTGTTTTTTTCTTTTTTCTTTTTAATTATTTATTTCATTGACATATACTTGTGGTCTAAAAATCAGGAGGAAAAAAAAAGGACACGGGAGTTTGTGGTGGATAGGGCTGTGCAGCGGATCCACCGACCCGCCACACCCGACCGACCCGACCCGACCCCCAATGGATGGATGCGTGCCACGTGGCGGGCGGATGCGGGCCTGGTTTATGGCAAATTTCGGGTTCGGGTTGGGTGGCGGGTAATCCGCCATTTTAGTCACCAGACCCGACCCGACCACCTTGGCTATTTTTTTTATTTATTTTTGGCTGATATCCTCATTTTCCCCCATTTTCCTTTCTGCCATCTATCCGCCTCTTGTCATTTTGCCCTAATTTTCGATAGAGACAGACAGACATTCTCACACTCTCTCTCTCTCTCTACCCTACCCATCGTCGGACGATCTACACGGCGTCGCCGATCATCTACACGGCGTCGTCGATCGATACACTACTGACTGTATCTCTCTCTCTCTCTCTCTCTCTCTCTCTCTCTGCTTTCCTCTTCTTCTCTTTTCTTCTCTTCTTCTGATCTGAGTCAAATCTGTTTTTTTTTTTTTTTTTCCAGTTCTAAAACGAAATAGATGGTTAGATTGATCGATATACAGTCTACTACACTGTCATTGACTGTAACTGATATCTGAGGTCCCTCTCTCTCTCTCTCTCTCTCTCTCTCTCTCTCTCTCCTTCTTCTTCTTCTTCTTTTTCTCTTCTTCTGAATCTTAACTGGTTTTATTTTTATTTTTATTTTTATTTTTTGGTTCTAGTTCTAAACTTCTAATCGTTTAGATTCTAATCTATTATTATTATTTTGTTTTGTTCCAGTTCTAAAACTAGAGACGTGGTTAGATTGATTGATACAGAGAAAACCACAGAGAGGTTTGGTTTATTTTTTGAATAATCTGTTTTGTTAATCAGCTTTTATTTTATTCTTACTTCTAATTTGAACTTTTATTCAGCTTTTATTCTTACTTATTATTTTATTTTTTTTGAACAATCTGTTTTGTCTACTACACTGTCATTGACTGTAATTTCCTTTTTTAATTTTGTGCAACATTTTCCTTTTCAAAATTAGTGTAGCAATTTGTTCTGTAAATAAAAGATTGTGGGTAGAGAATCCTAATAAAGAAGAAGCATGATGAACCCAGTGACTTTTCAAAATTAGTGTAGCAAGTTGTTCTCAATGACTTTTTATTGTTGGCACATCTGGTGTCACATTATTCTGATTGATCAACTACACTTATCATCAAAAAAAAAGAGTTGATCAAAATGATAATCTTCAAACTCTGTCCATTTAACTACACATTATTCTGAGTAATTTACACTTATTCTGATTGATCAACTACATCATGGATTTAAACTTTGTCCATTTAACTCTGTCCAGTGAACATTAAACTCTGTCCATTTAATATCCTTCTTAGTTTAAACTAATCTCTTAGGTTTTCAAAAAGAGCATGGATTTGAAAAACATATTTTGAATGATTTTTTATTGGTTGTTGGCAGTTTATTTGATAATCTTTTGGCCATGGATCCTCCAAGTGAAGAAACTTTTTTTGTGAGTCCTAATGTTGAGCCTGAATCATCTTCTTTGGTTAACTGTTTGAATAACTTATCATCAGAATAATGATTTGTTTCTCATTTACAAAATTATTTTGGATTTTATTTCTCTTTCTATTTGAATAATGTTTCTCATTTCTCTACATCATGGATTTAAACTCTATCCATTTAACTCTGTCTAGTGAACATTAAACTCTGTCCATTTAATATCCTTCTTAGTTTAAACTAATCTCTTAGGTTTTCAAAAAGAGCATAGATTTGAAAAGCATATTTTGAATGATTTTTATTGGTTGTTGGCAGTTTATTTGATAATCTTTTGGCCATGGATCCTCCAAGTGAAGAAACTTTTTTTGTGAGTCCTAATGTTGAGTTTGAATCATCTTTTATTGACCCATCTACCCAATCTAATGCTCCCCCTCGTAGACCACCCTTGGCCAAAACTAGTAGTAATGGGAGAACAACATCAAAGGCTTGGGATCATTTTGAAAAGATTAAGGGCATTGATGGGAAAGATAGGGCTATGTGCAAGTATTGTAAGAAAGAATATATGGCAGACTCTAAGAGTCATGGAACAAGTAATTTGTTAAGTCATTTGAAAAATTATACAAAGTATCCATTTAGGGATACTCATGGGCAACAATCATTGGGATTTAAACCTAGAGAAATTGGTGGAGAGGATGTTGTTGATGTTGTAGCTACGTCATTTTCTGTAGAAATTACTAGAAGGCATCTTGCGGAGGTGATAGTAATAGATGAATTGCCCTTTAGATTTGTGGACGGGGTTGGTTTTAAGAGGTTTTGTAATGTCATGCAACCCAAGTTCAAGATTCCATCTCGATATACCGTTGCTAGGGACATTCTAGACATATACACCAATGAAAGGGAAAGGTTGAAAAAAATTGTGAAGGGGCGTAGAATTTGTTTTACTACGGACACATAGACTTCCATATAAAATTTGTGTTATATGTGTCTAACTGCACATTTCATTGATGATGATTGGAAGTTACAAAAGAGGATCGTAAATTTTTGTCAAGTTGAAGACCACAAAGGAAAAACTCTTGGTAAAAAAATTGAGGCACTTTTAAAGGAGTAGGAAATTAATGGCCTTTTTACCTTAACTGTGGATAATACGAGTTCCAATAATCTAACCATTAGATTCTTGAAACGAACAACAAAATTGTGGAAGGGAACTATCTTGGGCCATGAATTTTTACACATGCGTTGTTGTGCGCATATTCTAAATCTTATTGTTAGTGATGGATTGAAGGATCTTGAGTCTTGTATAGCGAATGTGAGGCATGCAGTGAGGTATGTGAGGTCTTCTCCAAACCGCCTTGACACTTTTAAAAAGTATGTGAAAAGTTTGAAAATTGAGAGTAAGAGCCTCTTGTGCCTAGATGTGCCAACACGGTGGAATTCAACATATCTTATGTTAGAGGCAGCAAAAAAATTTGAGAGTGCTTTTCAAAGAATGGGTGAGGAGGACTACAATTACAAACACTACTTTTTGGATAATGAAGGGGGTGAGAGGAGAGAGATGCCTACAGCCGAGGATTGGG